TATAACTGCGTATAGAGAAAGTTTAAATGGCAGAAAAATTTATGGAATACTGAAAATTTTGAGAGTTTGCAAAACACCACTAAACTTTAGAGAACTGTTTTGCAAATGAGACCAAATCAATGAACTTATCATAAATAGTCAAACGGTTTCGAGATATGAAAAAATGCCCCATCTAGCAAATACCAGTTAACATTCCAACATTTTGCTACAAAACCGAATACAGCAACTGTGAAATTTGTTGTGTGAAGGAAAGAACAACCTTAACTCTACCATCATTATTGCCGCAGTATCTAGTTGAAAATCTTTGCGACAAAACTATTTTAAGAGAAATAGAAACGGATGCGAAAAATGATAGAGCTGAGATACCGTCAACAGGTTTGCATTCAACTAGGTCACTGCGATATATTGTATAAACAAATTTTAATACCACAGAACTTCTTAACTCTGTACCGATAAATAAGTTTCAAATAGATTTCATTTAAAAAAAGCTGTTAGAGATTAAAAATATCAAAATTCTTACTTTTTCTATAATTTTTGTATCAATCTCTCAATATATTTATCGATCCCTTTTTTACTGATCAACATTGTTAACTTCTTTACTGTACCGAGGCTGCAACAATATGCACTTTCCCGAAATATCAAAATTTGATTAATTAAAAAGATTAAACATGTATGGTCAATTCCTCTTTCTTTTCGTACGGCTTTTCAAGTGAAGCGTGTAGCACTCTGCTCATCGCTACTCCCTATATCGACTCACACCTAACTGATAACTTAATTCTGCACACTATCCCTAAGTAAACTCCAAGCTTTGTCTTACTCCATTCTGTCTTCCACTTCACATCATTTATTTTTGTTTTTGTTGCATTTTTTCTTACTCTTCCACTGAACGTCACTTGAAGGCTCATGTTATTTTCGCTTTTCTTATGATACCTAATATGATTTCTACATCAGATGATCTTTTACAGGTATTAATGTTTCAACGTTTACGCTTTCAAATCACAAATCGACATGAAGCGAAGTTGCTATCCTCAACCATTTTCATCTCAAAAATATTACTTTACTGTTTATTCAACTTTTTCCATTACCAACTCCTCAACGCAACAAAAATAATTGCCGGCTTAAGAAAACCGGTAATAACTTTCAAAATATTTCCTACCTCTGTAACACAATTACTTATTGTGAATAGGTCAAGAAACTTTTTTGAATTTTTAGATTTTCTGAACCGCATTCGAACTGCTGTTCTCAGTGCTGTATTGTCAAAAACAGATGTCTTTGAAAACTTTAAAAATTAGAAGTGTTCAGCAAAGATCGAGATTGGCGTCAAGCTGCCTGTAAGCTACTCCTACAGTAGCATGTTGTTTACTTCTAAGTATTGCTCAAAAAATGACTGTCTCAACTACGCACTACAATTACCTTTTTTTTCCAGAGAGGAAAGAAGCTCTGAAGAGTTACTCGTCTTAAATTATTCAATTGATCCTACACAAAGATATAAAGTAAAGATCTATTCCGTTTTTTTTCAAACATCAAGTTTTTATTTCAATCTGAATATTAAGACACTAAGAGTAGAAGCCGAATGGCAGAGTGAAAAGAGGTCTGACTAGAACAGTTTCGGGAAAGTGTTGTGAATACCCTGCATTTAACTGCAGAAGACAATAAAAACTAGAAAATTAATTTGCCACCTTGAATACTTGTAACAGTTTAAACAAGACGTAGATAAAGTGTGAAATAAGAATCAGTACTGATGTAATACTACAGCCTCTCAAAAAAATACCTTCAAAAAATGTTTTTTGCAAAAGTCCAAGTGAATAGGTCCAGTTGTACTTCGTCAATGCTTCCCTTGTAAAAGACAACCAAATAAAAGTAACAGTCTTACCAGAGTGCCAGTGCTACCCGCAGCTTAAAATGGAACTTCGAGAAGACGAACCTCTCATTATGATATTACATCCTTTCGGAAACTGCCCAAACACCTTCATGCCAAGGTATAAAACAGATAAGCCCTAAAATAAATTTTGCTTTCCTTCTGAAAACCTCCTTTATCTTTCTTTTCCAGGTACAGGTTAAATATATACTTCACGGTTATGTGAATTACTTTTTCCTTTTTGTTTGAGAATATCAAGCGAAATAACTCACCTTCTCTAGTTCGGAACGCTTTTACGCTGGAGCTGAAAGGTACTTGATCTTCATATTGCCCTTTCATCAGCAGTGGATCTCTGTTCCGTACTGACCCACAACGAACAAAAACCTGAATAGGGAGAAAAGAGATACTGCTGTAACAAAAAAAGAAATAACAAAAGTTGGGACTAGGCCAGTTTAAAAACGCGTAGTTATCCGAGTGTTGTAATCTGTGGAAAAAATTCTCAAAACTAATGTTGCTAAAAGGGGGGAAAAAATTTCTGGGAAGTTATGGTAAGTATGACGGTATATAACGAATTAAGGATGGTCTCCTTACTGAAGAAAGTGACATACCAGAAACACACATGCATTTTCTGGAAGACTGGTTTTTAGAAACAAAACTCTAGAAACTTTTTGGCATAAACAATTTTTTCAGACGGCTGTAACTTAGCATATAAACTTTTCGCGAAAGAAAAAAGTTGTCAACTAATTTGCCGCTAATACGCTCGAAAAAACTTTATGAAGCTTTTATTCCTAATGGACTATGAGAAAATGGAGTGTGAGCAGCTTCTAAACCCCAAGCATCGATGAAAAAAAGCATGGGAATATTTCCCCAGAAAAAAGTGGAACGAGGTGAATGAAGATTGCGTGATTATATACACTGCATTTTAACGAATTTAAATCCTGTAAAACGTAAGGCCTTACAGGGTAGTGACACTGTAGAGAAGTTCTTGAAAATGTTAACTAATGGGAAGACTTAAAGTTGGAGTGGTCTTCCTCGAACATCAAGGTTTTTGTGCCATTCATACGTTTATTAAGAGAAACAAGTTGACCAAATGATGAGCTGGATGCAACAAAATCCTTAGAAAAGCTTCGACTATTGACCAGCAGACAACAAACATATCGAAAAGATTATTTCAGTCACAGCGAACGATGAACCGTTGCTGACCAAGATATTTATAGCTCTAATCTTCAGCTTCTGCGATACAGCATCTCAAACTTTAGCTGTTTAGATGCATTCATGCAAATGAAACTGTTTACTTTTTTCATCATACCGTTTACTTTTCATTCTTTACTGTGCTGCTTACGTGGACCATAGAAGTCAGATATACCGTAACAGCACAGAACCTTTCTGCTCTCTTCTGCAAGAAGTTCTGTAATAAACTAAAATTAACCTACAGAAGTTCCGGCAAAACTGCCAACAATTAAAGGTGCTAAAACCCGAGAGAAAAAAGGTATGAAATATTAGGGAGCTTAGATGTCCTTAACAGATTTATATTCAAATAGGTCACTACATTTTATTGTAACCAAAAACTAATTTTAATACCATAGAACTTCTTAACGCTACGCGAACAAACAAGTTTCCAGCTGATCTCATTAAGAAAAACTTTTACTATACTGGCAATGGTTACAAATATAAAAATGTTGTTCCTTCCAGAATCTTAATGTTATTGTTCTACCAATGAATTTATTCATATCTCGTTCACTGATCAGCATTGTTAACTTCTTCACCGTACCGACTTTGCAACTGTATGCATCCTTCTGATATATCATCATTTGATGAAACGAAAAGATTAAACATGCATGGCCAATTTTTCCTCGTTTTTCTACGGTTTTCTACATAAGTTCTACAGCACTCTGTTCACCAATATTTGTTATAGCAGTTTAAAGCTAACTGGTATCTCACTTCTGCGCAATATTCCTAGCTAGGCTCTGGTTATGCTTTATTCCATTTCAGCTTCCATTTCGTTTCTTCTATTCTTGTTTTTGTTGTCTTTTATTGTACTTTTTCTCGCTCTTTGTAAATAAACGAGATCCGCGTAACGGAAAAAGCTTTTTCTACTTCTGGTGTTCGCAGCCTCTGCAGTACATTAACATTAGTCTCAAGTGTTCCACTAGGAGAGATTCGAAAGCTTACACCTACTTGTTGTCTCTTGATATCAACCATAAAAATCTCTTCTAATACGATCTTTTGCAGGCCACAATGTGTCACCGCTTACGCATCAGAATCAAATATCCATGTAAATTGAAGTCCTCCTTAATTTTAATTGTTTTCATCTCAACAGTACTACTTATCTGTGCAATTACTGCTTTATATTACCAACCCCTTAATGCAACACAACTGGCCGCTAGCTTAATAAAATCGGTAATAACTTCCAAAAATTCCCCCTACTTCTGTAACATTACCTATTGTGAATAGGTCAAGAAACTCCTCTGAATTTTTTGTTTTTCTGAACCACATTTTTACTGCTGTTCTTAGTGCTCTGTTGTCAAAAACAGATGTCTTTGAAAACTTTAAAAATCAGAATTGTTCAGCAAAAATGGAGAACGGCGTTAAGCTGCCTGTAAGTTGCTGTTACGGTAGCATTTTGTTTATTTTAAAGTATTGCTCGAAAATGACTCTCTCATCTACGCATTTCAATTACCTTTTTTTCCAGAGAGAAAAAAGCCCTAAAGAGTTACTCGTCTTAAATTATTCAATTGATCCTACACGAAGATATAAAGTAAAGATCTATTCCGTTTTTTTATAAACATCTAGTTTTTATTTCAATCTGAATATTAAGACACTAAGAGTAG